AGGCAATGCTCAGGTTATTTATTTTTATGGAAGCCGTCTAATGTTCAATTTATATCGCGCGAGGCGCGAACGACGAATTCTTGAGGTAGAAAAGGTAAAACTATATATTCGATTATGTAATTAAATTAAATACTTGTTAAAAGCTTTTCACTAGAACTTTGTATATTTCTTCCAGACGCTTCCAAAAACTTTTGTAATTTGATTTTTTTTCACTTTAGTTTTTAATTGTATGTTCTTTCTTCTTTTAATTCCTGTTATTTTAATTCTTAGTTTTTTGTTTGCTGTTTTCCAAATGTGTACGTGTGTGTGTGTGTGTGTGTATGTGTGTGAGTGTGCATAATTGTAAATTGATTGTATATTGTGATTGCGTGTATGGTTAAAAGTTTTTCATATAGTTTTCACTACTTGTCGAAACGGCCGTTTGAAATTTACAAATTACATTTTTCCGGAGTGTTAAGTGAACTGAAAACAGAGTTGTTTCGTAAATGTGTATGGATGTGGTTTTGCCTAAGCTTGGTATCAAAGTGTTTGCGGTTGTGCTTAAGGGTATGTGTGGTTAACCTAAAAATTCCATGGACACAAATATCCCCTACACAATACATATTCAATTTAATTCTGGAACTCTCTCTCTCTCTCTCTCTCTCTCTCTCTCTCTCTCTCTAAATATTTATATACTAATTTATATATTGTACGTATACGTGTTTTGTTTGTGAATAGATAATTGAGACTGATACTTATCTGCGATCATAATTATTTCCAATTCAAACAACAATAATCTCAATAAATAATGCAAATTTCCCAACTCCGGCAATTCCGATAGAAAGATAGACAGACAGAGTGAGCAAACGAGTGCGGAGCGAGAAAAAGAGGGAGAGAAAAAGCGCACGGTAAACATTGTACCGTTTCGAAATCGAATAACATAAATTTTATGTTAGAACGTTTCAGCGAAAAATTTATTGACTAAATCTATGGACGCTTTTGTGTAGTATGAATTTAACTGCTTAACAACTAATGAATTTAAGGTAAATGTTTGTATTGGTGTTTGGTTCTAAAATAAAATGTCTCTTATATCAAAAACGCTTTTCCTCGTGTATTTGTATGTGTTTTTTTCGTTTTGAATAAATCAATAAATTATATTGAGATGCAGCGAAAATATTTCCTCCAGTACCGACATTCATTAACACTCAAGTGACGTTGTGTACTTAATAAATATATTTTCTAGCTTAAAGCTACACAACTCAGTACAATTGACATAGCATTCCTTTTTTGCATTTAATAGAATCTACTGGGAAGTTATTCTACTCGATTGGTTGAAAGAAAATATTTGCAAAACAAAAAATTCACCTAAAAAAAAGAAAGAAAAAATCTACTTCCTGAGAAAGATGAGAGAAAAACGTATCTTTTTTCAGTATTTTGTGTGCCATTTGATTCACTGAGAATAAAAGTAACTTATTAAATATTCGCCAGTCTAACCGCAACACAAAAGTCGCCGAACAAACTGGCGAACATTTAATAAGTTACTTTTATTCTCAGTGAATCATTTGAGTGTTAAGCGCATTTAAATCTAATTTGCAAACAGTGGTTTTTGGTGTCATTCATTTTGCTCCAACGAATTCCACATCATTTTCCCAAATGAGATGGAGTGGTGAGCAAAAATGCTGGACAATTTATTTTCGCTGCAACTCTCTTACTCTATTCATTATACCTAGGTATATACTATCCCCTTTGATTTTCAATTTTATTTATGTTTTTCATTGTATACTCCAAAATTTAATCCGACTAATTATCGCGTTCAGCATGGGTGCCTAGGTATTTGGTGTCAACGAATATTAATTTGTGTATTTGTGTATTTGTGTTGCGTGTACTAGTACTACCGATAGCTCAACAGAGAGATAGAGACAGACTGAAAACGTGGTATTGCGTGCGCGTGTTTGTTTCTTTTTTTCTGTGTGTGTGAGAGTGTGTGTGTGTGTGTGTGTGTGTCTGTAGTTGCATGAGTGCGCGTGCATTTTTGCGAATTCATGTGTGTGTTTGTGTGTGCGTGTGCATGTGCAAGTTCACAGAGTGTGCTCTGGTATTTCGAATCGATTTTATTATTCAATATTATATTCTCATTAGGTATCATCCTCTTCTTCGTCTGGAAGAGATATTCAATCAAGAGAGAGAAAAAAGAAGAAAAACGAAAAAGAGTCAAATTAACAGTTGAAATGTTGATTGGCCTCATAATTTATTTGAACGGAACAAAAAAAAAAGCTTTTGTTTTTTTTAATCGAATTGTATTCTTTCCACGTATTTAGCATAAATACGAGTATATTCAATATTTAACAAGGTAGGCAATTTTTTTTTGTGTCATGTTTCGTCGAACGAATTTTTCCCTTACAACATCTTATTTACATAAACAAAGAGATAAACAAAAATCGGTGTAGGAAAAAAAAGCGTTCAGTTCTAATGGTAACAGACTATGGGCAAATTAAACTTGCTGAAATCCCATGAAATTTGTCTCTATAGAAAGGAAAGAGAACCGGAAGGGAAAATAAAATAAACTGAAACACTGGTTGAGAGAATATGCAAGTAGGGTTAAACGGTTGTTAACAAAATTTGCTGGCAATCAAAAATGTTGTATGCATTTTCCCTCCCATTCAGTCTCTCTCCATTATTATTATTATCTGGGTTAATTTATTTCCCGTTTATTTATTATGGACGATGTTCCCGGCTCAACAAATTTCTATCTAAACGATCAACGCGATAGCATTCCTTGAAGCGAACGAGATGAATATCGCATGAAGGGGGGATTTTTTTTGCTGCGATATGTTGAAGCAATGCGATGCATTTTCGTTCAACACACGACGGCACAAAGTCAAAGAGCAAAAGAACATCAGGTATTTTCGTGCTTTTTGACAGATGTACTTGAATGTTTTCTATGTCGCCATCTGTTTGGTGATACTAATATCTTATCACATGGTTCTGATGAAGATTTTATTTATTGTTTTTCCAATTTTATATAAAATTACTTTTTCATTCATAAACCCAATTCATAAACACACATAAGAGTGAAAAAAATTATCATCATCAAGTTTAAAACACGGCACGACCAATTTCAAGTGTTGTAACTTTGTTTTTAAAAAAGCCGAATATTATCTAAAAAAAACACCAATACAAAATAATAAATGGCAAATCATTCTTTTGTCTCTTTGTTGACATTGATTTCCCACATTTTCAAAACAAAGTGAATTTTTTTAAATACTATTCATAATTGTAATACACAATCACGTGTTTAGTACATTTCATTGCTCAATACCGACACTGAACGCACCCTTTTAACGTCAGCAATGGTATCTGTCAAATTTTACGCTCTGAAAATGACCTATTCATAGCAAACATTCAAAAACAGTCAATATTTTAATATTTTAATTTTTATTGAGGAAAACTAACATGACATTCACTTTCGAAATCATAACATTTGAAAATTGTCATGCCGTTTGTTACATAAGAATGTGCAACGATCAATTTGGTTGTATCGTCTCGGAACGACAATTTTCAAATCCGTAAAAATGAGCTCAAATATTTGAAAATTGTATAAACAATAAATAAAATCTTTATCAGAACCATGTGATAAGATATTTCTATCACCAACAACAGATGGCGACATAGAAAATTCAATTTAGTACATCTGTCAAAAAGCACGATTCTTCACTAGAACCTGATGTTCTTTCGTTGTCGTTGTCGTTGTCGTCGTCGACGTTGTTGGGAAAAACTAATTAAACTATGCATGTAATTCACGTTAATAAATTGTAATCTCTTCGTTCGTATATGCATCGTTGGGACATAGTGTCACCGTGTGGAAAATTTGACCCAACGGAGATCTTCAATTTCCCCACAAATATCCATTTGAATGTATACATACATGGGTTATATCGAGTGCTGTTTCTGAAAAAGACTGCACTATCTCTCTCTCTCTCTCTCTCTCTGACTTGCACCGACATCCAAGACGGTATTTTAATAAAAACGCCATTTCGACGTCGTTTTGGGGTTTAGGTTTTCCGTTAGACATACGAAACGAATGGAATTTTCGGTATATTTTGTGTGTTGGTAAGTGTGGTTGTATACTGGATCCAGTGGATAATATTAAATACATTTTACAAAAACGATAAAAAGAAAGATTCAACATGAACAAACACAGACAGAGAGCTAGAGAATACTTAGACCGGGAGAGAGAGAGAGACTAATATAATAATGTGGGAAAATAGAGAGACAGAGAGTGTGTGTGTGTGTATGAGATAGGCGTTTTGAAAAACAATGGCTTTCTCACACGGAGAAGCTAACAAACATTTATGTGTGTGTGTGTGCAATAATCTAAAACCGACACATTAATTGCTCATCCGAAAAGCGGAGACAAAGTTTAAACGAGATACGAAACGATAAACGAAAAATCAAACGAAAATAAGAACGGAAAATTCATGCAATTTTCATCACTGTTGATAATTCATTTTTTTTAATGCGAGAACTCAACTAATACTTCAAATACTCGACACTTTTCATTTGGAAACTAATGCAAATTGAATTACGAATTGATTTCACGACCTAATAACTTCAACATAAAGAGGATATGAACAATGCAATTTTTTTCCTTCTGAAATTTCGTTCAAAATGGCTGTGCATCGTGCTATCACAACCGGTGAAACAATTCCATTTGCAATTGAATGATTTTTACTGTCCAGAAAAAAATTCTATGGTTCATATGAGTTTCGGTGGCTGAAACGCAACTTAAACATGCAAAATAATAAAATAAAACGAAATAGGAATCAGACGAAGCAATCTGAAGTTTTACGAGTTAGAATGAAATGGAAAACTGAAGATTGCTTTGACTTGAATGATTTGTCAACAATTTCTATATTTTCGCCGTGGGATTTCGATTCCGGACAAATCAAAAACCGAAATCCAAATTGATTTGTTATTTTTTCAATAGTTAATTAGATTTGGTATTGATTTGTTTGGCTCACCTGTGTCTACGATCACATCAATTAAGTCCATACTTTTGGCGAACGCGTCCCGTAAATTGATGTGGTGGAATGATACAATGCTGCCTTCTCGTTTGGCTCGATCTAACGCCTCACGGCGTTTCAGTGCTTTTTCACGACGCATTTGATTCTATGCAGGTGTTGATGTGATTTTGAACAAAATTCAGTGAGGAAAGTTCATTTTTTTGATTTTGTTTCGAAAATTTGTAAGATAGTAAATCGAATGAAAACAAGAAAAGAATAAGGAAAAAATGATAAGAAACAAAAGAAGTGTAGTGAAAGAAGAAAGTTTGAAAAAAAAGAGATTTTCGAATATATCAGTACCTTGTAGAACTCGGCAAAATTATTTACAATAATTGGAATGGGCAAGGCAATTACAAGTACGCCACAAATACAACACACCGAACCAATCAATTTGCCCAATGGGGTGGTTGGGACAATATCACCATAGCCCACAGTCTGCGACCGATTTATACGACCGATTTCGGTGTTTTAAAGCCAACGTTTTTAAGTTTTTCGACGATTTTGAGTTTTAAAAAAGTTGTTTTCGTTTATTACCACAGTCAGTAAAAATTATTTATTTAAATTTAATTTTGAATCAATAACTCAACAAGAACCAAAAGTCCGACCGGCGCACTTTGGAGCAGCTTCTAAATATTGGTAAGAAAATTGAATTCAATGAATTTATCTCGCTTTTAACACTATGATTGTTCTTGGGGCACCCAGGGCCCCCAGCGAACTTTAAAGTTGAATAAAAGTACTAAACAGTATATAAACCAACCGGAGTTAAGTCTCATTGTATAGATTGAACATTTCTCTACACGAATGAAAAAAAAACATATGCATATGTGTGAGTATGTGTAAAATACAGCCTGCCGCAAAACATGTTACGCTGTTGTTCTTGGGGGACTCCAGGGCCCCATGAATATTTTATATTATAACTGGACTATAATAAGAGATATCGACTTGGTGTCTGTAGCAGTGTTGTAGACTAGTTTATGTACTACAACTTCGCCGTAGACATCAAGTCGATATCTCTTATCAGTTACGCGAAAAGCCGCGAAAACGTGAAAAACGCAAATTCATAGTTTCTCATTTTTCAAGGAACTGATAAGAGATAACGAGATGGTGTCTATGGCAAAGTTGTAGCTCTGGTCGAGTACTACAACTTTACTTTGACACCAAGTCGTTATCTCTTATCAGTTACGCGAAAAAATGATAAGAAAAAAATCGCGTTTTTCACGGTTTTCTGCGGTTTCTTGCGTATTCCGCAAAACTGATAAGAGATAGAGAAATAGTGTCTATGGCAAAGTTGTAGTTCTGGTCAATTGCTACAACTTCACTACAGACACCAAGTCGTTATCTTTTATCAGTTACGCCAAAAAATGATAAGAAAAAATTCGCGTTTTTCACGGTTTTCGCGGCTTTTCACGTAACTGATAAGAGATAACGACTTGATGCTGTAGCGAAGTTGTAGTACTTAAGCTGCTTTACAAGTTTGGTATAGACACCATCTCGTTATCTCTTATCAGTTTCGCGGAATATTCGAAAAACCGCAGAAAACCGTGAAAAACGCGAATGTTTTCTTATCATTTTTTCGCGTAACTGATACGAGATAACGACGTGGGATCTGTGCCAAATTATAGTCCTCGACCAGAGCTACAACTTTGCTTCAGACACCATCTGGTTATCTCTTATCAGTTTCGTGAAAAATGATAAGGAAAAAACGCGTTTTTTCGCGGTTTTCTGCGGTTTCTCGCGTATTCCGCGAAACTGATAAAAGATAACGACTTGGTATCTTCGACAAAGTTGTAGAGCAGCTTGAGTACTACAACTTCACCATAGACATCAAGTCGTTATCTCTTATCAGTTACGCGAAAAAACGCGAAAAACGCGAGTTCTTGATAATCATTTTTCGCGAAACTGATAAGAGATAACGACTTGGTGTCTGTGGCAAAGTTGTAGTACTCGACCTGCTCTACATTTCTGTCGAAGAGGCAAGTCTCTTACTTCTTATCGGCTTCACTAAAACGAGGTGGGAAAATTTCGCGATTTTCGCGTTTTTTCGCGTTTTTCGCGGAACTGATAAGAGATAAGCAATATTTGTTGCAACAAAATTATAGCAAACCTCGAGTATTACAACTTTGCTCCAGACACTAATTTGTTATCTCTTATAACAGTCCAGATTTCATATGAAGTATCTTGGGGGCCCTGGAGTCCCCCAAGAACAGTAATATGTTGCAAATATGAAGAACAGTCATAGTGTTAATTGTTCGTAGGATTTTATTTGGATATGTAGCGCAATTCCAGAAGTGTCGCTCTCTTTTGAGTGTGCTCATCAATACTTTCGCACTAAACTATCAATTTTCTATTCATTACATAAAATTAACAGTTTAGTACGAAGGCATTGATGAGCACACTCAAAAGAAAGCGACACTTCTGGAATTGCGCCACATATCCAAATGAAATCCTACGAACAATTAAAAGCGAGATAAATTCATTGAATTCAATTTTCTTATCAACATTTAGAAGCTGCTCCAAAGTCCTCCGGTCGGCTTTTTGGTTTTTCCGTTGTTGTTGTTGTTGTTGTTGAACAATTGATTCAAAATTAAATTTGATTTTAAGCTAAAAATGAGCTTAATGGACTCATACCGTCATTGTGATCCCCGCCCACCAAAACGTTTCAGGGATACTTATGAATTTGGTGTTTTCCTCGTCTTTTTCAGCAAAATATGCGAGTGACGAAAATATTAGAACACCCATTGCCAGAAACAACATTAACAGTCCCAATTCTTTGTACGAATTTCGTAATGTAAAGCCTAATGATTGTAAGCCAGTTGAATGACGCGCCAGCTTTAAGATTCGCAGGATACGCATGATGCGAAATACTTGCACGACCCTACGCACATCGTGAAACTGGTCCGTAGTATTTTTGTTCGTTTCCAATAGGAACAAAGATACAAAATATGGAAGTATGGCTAACAGATCAATGACGTTCAATCCACCTTTAAAGAATTTCCACTTGTCTGGTGACGCCCCAAATCGCAATAAATATTCAAGTGTGAACCACGATATACAAACGGCCTCAACAATTGCCAGCTCAGGATTGTCTTGTTGCGTACTGCCTTTATGCGTACCATTGCGATTGTGTTCGGGTTGCAGTGCCGGTATTGTGTTCAAGGTTAAGGCTATTGTCGACAAAACTATGAAGAGGATTGATATAACAGCAATAATCTGGAATGTGAAGAGTTTAAGAAAAAGGCCACATTTGAACCATCAATTATTTTTGCTTTTTTTTTGGTCGGGTGTTCGTTCATTTCGGTTTTTGTTCTTGTTTTTCATGGTTGGTTTTATGGTTTAAATTGGTTTATGGTATCTTTATCTTATTCGACTCAATCAGATTGTTCAATAGCTATCATCAAATGTTCAAAGAAAAAAGTGCAACAAATGTGAAACTGTGCGACAACGAAAACAGTTTTCTCCACGACTCGATACGGGGTGATGACGATTGGCCCAAACAGGCCATCGATCACCCTCTACTGTGATGAGGTAAAAAACGTTTTCTCCGTTCGCATTTGTGAGATTTTCCCCTCAGCATTTGATCGGGTCTCGCTCACTCTTGCAAGTTGTTCCAGTAACCAAAACACAATCTATTTAGTCTGGAATTCGTTGTGTAATCGTGAATTCTCCCTTTTTTGGGCGTTCATTTTCATTTTCATTTCGACTGACAAATGTTGTTTCTGTTTGACCGTTTTTCTTTCGTTCAAAGCTCAACAATGGATGATCGCGGTTAAAACTAATAATGTAATTACGTGTGTTCGTTACTTAAACAAAACATAACTAGGAAAATTGGTCAGACAGATAGAGTATACGTATCAAAAGCATTAGTGGTGGTTTTTATCCTTTCGACTATGATCAATCAGAAAAAAAGAACTTGTTCTATGGAGTGGATTCAAAAAAGTAGAGTGCGGAAAAAAGTTCCAATGTGAAACCAAATGTTGAAAGCATCGATTGGTATGCGATGTGCACGTTGCATTGGATTAGTTGATCCAATTTATATCAATTGAATTGCAATTTCTTATCAATTGCACGAGCATTGCATTGCATCCATTCGATCGCTTTCGACACGTGCTTCTTACAATTCATTTGCAAAAAATTGGTGGTTCACTATCACGAATGCGCAGAAAAAATGAATTCTTTTAAGGAAAAAAATCGCTAACTATTGATTTTGAAAAAGAAAAAAAATATTTTCCCCAATATGTGTGTATCAATCAAAAATGAACCAAAAAATGTAGAGATTATCGTGAAAATGAATGAAAAAATGAAATGTTGTTCTTAGAAAATTACTTAAGCAAAAGAGTTAATCGTGTGTTTGTGTCGTGTGTTGTTGAGAATGTTAGCTATTTTTTTTTGTTATTTTCTTGTTTGTTACTAATCGAATATGAATACCAATTAATGCACTAAGTGGTAATTCTTTTTCTTATCAATTTTCTTAATTTGAATGAAGAATTTTTTTTCCATTTCCAACCAATTTTTTACTCTAAGCTCAATACTCTAAGTGTAGTTTGTGTAATGTTTTTTTTTCAGTTTTCATTCAAAGAATTCAAAATGGTCGAGACTATTGTTCAGCATTGTGGATGCTTGCCGATTGCAAATTGTGTGTGTTTGTGTATGTGTGTGTTTTAATGTGTTTAAAATGTTCAATCAAATTCAATGTGTTGTTGTTTCATTAAATAAATAGAAAAAAAAGCGCATGAAACTATCAGCAATTGGGTTGTGCATTAATTTATCGGGTGTATAAAATGCATTAAACATCCAGAATGGTCTATTAATCGGATAAATTCAAATTTGATATTTGCCACATTGGCATGAACGAACATCGCACTGCACGTAAACACATTAAGCGATACATTCTAAGCTCGTTATGCCTTGTACCTGTCTCGTTTTATGCATTTGCGGACGAGAAGTGTGTGTGCCTATGCTCATGCAAATGTGACTGCATTTTGGATTATAATCCGATAAATATGGCAAATCATTTTGGCATCCCTCCTACACTTAGGCACCGGGATAAATTTATCGCACGAAATGCCCCGGAATTGCTTCATACCATGTATAAATGTTTACATTCCAGACAGGAAGGGCGAAAAATAACCCAAAATCAAGAGAATTCTCTAATAAATTTCAATTTGTGTGTATATGTGCTAAAATGCTCTAAATACCTTTTTTTGTTATCATTCCAAATGATAATCATAAACTTCATTGATTACCAACTACAAAAAGAAAGACAATGAATTCGAATCGACCAGAATATTACGACTAAAAAAGAGAAAACGTTTTTTTTTTGGTGCAAAACTTATAAAATGATGAAATCGCAAATGCGATTACATGCTGCAGCACATAGTATAAATATGTACGCCAAAAATCGTTAAATCGAACAATAATTTGGTGGTGTGACGACAGTTTTGTAGCAGCCGTCGATTCGCTAAGCAAATTGTGAAAAAAGCTGCAGGTCAAACTATCTACGATTTCTGAAGTCAAAATTACGCGCACACCTTTGAATACACATTTGATGTACATCATTTGTCCGACGAGTGAAGCACGCTAAATAAACATGATGAACATAAAATGTGTGTCACATAAAAAACTCAAATACATTTTCGAAATGCCGGATCTGTAATATCATTACGCGATAGAGAAGTAGAAAGCTACGATGATTCAACATTAAAGTGTGGATAATGCAATTCATTGATGCAATTATATCGTTGATTAATGCTTCAGTTAAAGTGTCGATTTTGAAATAACCAATTATTTGACAGTTTTCGGAGGCATATTTGCGTTGCTTGAAGAAGGATTGTGCGCACCGGTTTCGACCCAAGGAGATTTTGTGCGTGCGCGCGTGTTTGTAGCAATTTATTCGAAAGTTTACGCCAATATTGAAGTTTCAAAGTGGGAAGAAAGTGTATGGTTGTCAATTTTACTTTGTGTGCAGGAAATTCGATCGAGCAGAACTATTTATCTTTTTGATGGATGACAAGGAAAATCGCAATTTGTTACGAGCAACAACACATGCTCGGCAAGTTATGACGTTGAGATGACTCGCTGTTGTTGATTAAAAACAGGGAACGGTGACGGCATTTTTCAGCCAAACGGATAGTAGTGGTGGCGATGGTGGCATGCGTTACAGAAAAGTTCACATTCTTCTTATCGACGGTGAAGAAAGCAACGCTAGAACTTCGTCGTGTTTTCGTTTTTTTCCTTCCATTTATTTGGTCATAATGCCACAGACGTCAACTGTCAGGACGTTTACATATAAAATCGGATCTTGCAATTGATACGTAATATGTATATACAAAATAATAATAGATAATGAAGCTGATTTGATATTTATGCACATTGTTTACAGTCTACACTAATACATGCGATTGAGTTACATTGTGCGGTTTTGTACATTGGTCGGATAAAAGTCAAAATAAAACGGTGAACTGTTTGAAAAATGACAGACAACATAACAACATTACTTTACAACAATCATATGATAAAGCTACAAAACTACACCTATACATTACATGCGAATACATCTATCAATTTACAGCTACACTATATATAAGTGTGTGTTCGAATGGATCTAAATATCGAATTGAGGTGCGAGAGAGAGCATAGATTTGATTAGGTGAAAAGCGAGTATAGTCAATAAATTGAAATAATAGCCATGAAATTGAGCAATAATATGGTTTTAAAGGAAAAAAGAGCGCTCCAACCGCACGCGGGGACGCTCAAGTACACGGCCCGAAATAGTCGCATACGCGCATCGTGTCGATTGTAATCGTACATTTCATCATTGGTTCATTTCTTTGAGCATTGCGTTTTTGAGGTCGTACGTGTGCATAAAAAATTTAATGACACACACAAAAGTCGGTACGGTAATTACATGTGAAACGGATAACGAGGTAGTTTCTTGTTCATTTCTTCACGTATACATTACTATTCGCCGCTCATTTCTTTACTTTACTTCTATCTTTCACTCTCTCGTGTATGTGTGTGTGTGTGTGTGTGTGTGTTTTCTTTGACTTTTGAAGCAGTCGAGGCACACATAAACGAGATTTAATGGTTACGCGAGCGCGCGCGCCCATATGCGGATGTTCAATTTCATGTAAGCTCCGTTTTGCTATTATTTCGTTTTTTTATTGGCAAAAAAAGAGGATTAAAGAATATATACATATAAAATATTCCAAATAAAACAACAACAACAAATATTCATTATGCATCGAAACATGAAGGTGGGTTTAGGGAAATCAGTCAATAAACTTTTCCATCATTTTTTTTGTGATTGTTCGTTTTTGTTTTCTTCAATCATTATTTCTTGTCTCGAGTCTACATTAATTTTTTGTGGTTTTCTCTAACATTTTGAAAAAAAAAATTGCCCTTTTTTTGTAAACTTTGGTTCATATCTCATCAACAACATTTATTTGGAACGCATCAGAAAGTTGATGCGCCACACGAAGAAAAAAAACTTATTTTTTCAGCTAACGATATGTATGAAACAAAATAAACAAAAATCTCTTCGAAAGAAAAAAAAACAAACAACGAACGAAGTTTTGGCGAAATTCCGTGCAAGCCAAGCGCCCAGTATTTGTTGAACAGTTTTTACATCGATATATTTATATAAAAGAGAAAGAGAGAGAGAGAGAGAGAGATCAAATGAGATGGAAAATTGCGTAAGTTTGATGTAATGTGTCTTAAAATGGAAATTAAGAGAAAAAAATAATCGAAAACCCAACAGAGAAAAATGTATGAGAAAAGATTATATGAAATGGAAGATCGAGTGAAAATTGCCAAACAAACTTGTGGCCGCTTGTCTACGGAAACTGCGTGTAGTTACACACTTCGTTCTCGATTCGCCGTTTTTAATATATGGATGATATTTATTTTTCTGTTTGTGTATATATTTCTTGCATTCATTTTTTTTATCTGTCAAAAAAAATGTGATCGTTTTTTTTGTGTGGTTTGCGTCGAGTTGTATTTTTGTAGTAATATTTTTAGTTTGGTTCGTATGTTATATATGGTGCGTACAGTCATATCGCCAAGTACCGATTCCCACCGGATTTAAAACAACAAATTTCCATATAATTTTTTCGTTTGTGTGTCGAAATTTGTTACTCTCAAATCCCAACAATTATTCACATCAACACCGTGAACAACGTTTATCTAAAATTAAAGAAACATTGACATCTTCC